AAAAAAAAAAAAAAAAAAAAAAAAAAGTGTTTCACCATGAAAAAAATGGAAGTATAACAGCTAGTGGTTGTTGCGCACTGTTTGGAATTTGTGCAACTTTGCACTCTTCCCCACTGCAGGTGAAAAGTCTGAGGCTTGACTTTTCTCTTAACAAAATGTTTTTGATTTGGGCGCCAAAAATGACATTTTTAAATGATTTTTTATTTTATTTTGTGACTCACTGGCAAATTGGCAACCAGGCCAGATTCGGGCTTTGAGGAAACTCAAAGCTGCTACTGGGACTTGGGCCCAGGAGGAAGGAACAAACACCTACACAAAAATGAGATAAGGGAGAGAGAGCCTTGCTCCCATACACAACAACATTCTGCATGTATCTGGACTGCATACCAGCCTAGATACATTCAAACAGCTCAAGTATTTCCAATGTTTGACTGTTGTGAAGTGGAGGGAGGCCTGGAGATGATGGAGATTATTAGTAAACAACAGTCAACATTCGAAATGCTGGAGCTGTCCGAATGTACCTAGTCTGGCAGTAAGTCTGGATCCATGCAGAATGTTGAGAATTGGAGCAAGGCCCTCTCTGGGGATGCTTGAGGTAAATGAGCAATAAAGACGGCAGGCAAAAGTGTGTGCGCGGCACAACGAAACACGAAACGAGTGCATCTCCCCACAGAAAATGCACAAGTTCATCCATCTGCTATAAACAGTAATGAATGTATTTTGCCACATTTCGTGAGCAGATGCACTTGTTTTTTTTGTTTTTTTTGTTTCGTGTGCCCTGCACGGGGACCCCAAAGATGAAGCAGGCCACCTTGTCTGTTACATGCCCAGTTGGGCGATGTATATATATAGCCAAGGATCCGCAATGTGATGGAAAGGACTGAATGGACAATGCACTGCTAGTGGAATCTCAACAAGCAGGGTACAGTGTACACCCTGATACATACAAAAATGGCACCTTATAGCGCAGTGGAAGACTTAGATGTAAGCCCTGACCTGACCGGGACTGACCTCTCTCACGTAGTACCAGACAGCGTAGCGGAATACTAGAATACCAAGGACTAGCCCAATCAATGTCGCAATCCAGACCAAACATACATCATCCTCATCATAAGATGTCAAGGGGCAGGTTGCTACACACAGGAACAATGCGCCAGGTCCAGACCGTACACAGACGAAGAGGAGGGGATCAGATGAAGAAGAGAGGGGAGATGGGAATGTCGTCAACACCAAGTCTTCGGTACAAGTCCCACCCTGTCTCTTATACACATCTAGATGTGTATAAGAGACAGGTCCTGATGTGAGAGAGAGTGTAGCCCAGCCACCTTCGGGTAGAGACTCCTTAATATATTTCACAATATCTATTTTAATCATTTTCTCCCCTGTCT